CTGCCCAATATGTAGCATTATGCCACAACCTGAGGGACAAAGAATTACCTAGACTCATAGAGCAGACACATTTATATGATATACTGTACATATACATAATGTATAAATAATATTTAGCTGTCCAAATATTTTCGGGGGCTGAGATGTGTCATGGCATTCATATACTTCAGCAACTACCTCTTCCCTGGTAACGCTTCATACGAGACAATGAAAGCCATTTGTCAGATGTTAGGTCAGCCAGAGGATCACTTTCTAAATGTTGGAACAAAGACCTCATGTTATTTCATCAAAAAAAGTGGGTTCCAACAATCCGGGAGAGAGACTAATGACCAAAGATGAAAATATACATGCTAAGAGCTCCAGTGATACAGATGATGGAAGTGAGGATGACTATTACATGAAATTAGTCACAGAGCAGTGCAGGCACCTAAATCTGGATGGTGCTGTAAAGGCCTACCTGATGAAAAGGGACACTCTGGAATATGAACATAGGATGGAATTTTTCCATTTCCTAAAAGGACTGCTACATCTTGATGACGAGCACAGACTCACTCCCAGCCAAGCCCTACAACACAATATTATTACAGTGGCTCACCTGAAAGATCACAGCAACACATCTTACACAGTACATGCCCATAAGTTCATGGCTATCTGAACCAGCCTAAATGATTTACATGAAACAGCTGACTGTCTGAGCAAGTCCAAACAAGATTCATTCACTGAGAGTTCCTATGACCACAGTGAAAATGTAAACACTCGCAGTAAAAACATACACGCTGAGAGATCTAGTGAGTCAGACAACTGAACTTAACTCTGAACTCGGAACTGGATGCTGAGTGCTCCAGTTCATCCTCAGACTATGTTTCCTCCAGAGGTCAAGAGTGTGCAGCTCAAAATCTTTATGATGACTACATGTATTTATTTACTTATTATCTGGATGAAGTTTCAGAGTGGACTGACCTGGGGAGTGATTCAGTCCCTGTTATGTTCAGGGAGGACAACTGGGTTGCCTAAAAAGTTTCGCAAGACTACATGTCCCCCACCCTTATCCACAAATATTTCATTTGTTACATGCACTTTTTCTACTCAAGCACCTGCTTCACTTTCAAAACTTTTGGTGCAAACATAGCCTCACACAAAACCCAGTAGAGAAATCTGAGAGCACAGACTCAGAAATGAGCGCACATGTAATCAGGGCTGTGCTCTCATCTGATTTTACGCTTATGAATCTATGCCTGCGCACTCTCAAATGCTGAATTGCAAACTGCAAGCCTAGATCCTCCATATTTTTTTCTTTGGTGAATGCAACACTATGCTATACAATCATATACTATACTATAATGGATTAGATTAGATTGGCAACAGTTATATTTATTGTTTTTTCTTTTCTGTTACATTTACTGTTTAGAGAAATCTATACATATATTCAATTCAATTCAGTTTATTTATATACCATATTTAAAGGCGGGCAGCATGGTGGTGTGGTGGTTAGCACTGCTGCCTCACAGCAAGAAGGTTCTGGGTCCGAGCCCTGGCCGCCCCAGTGCCCCTGTGCTGAGTTTGCATCTTCTCCCTGTGCCTGCGTGGGTTCTCTCTGGGTACTCTGGCTTCCTTCCAAAAGACATGTATGGAAATAGATCTTTGCCTTGATGTTTCAAGGGTGCTCTAACCACATTTTGAGCACTACTCAGTTTGCAACTTGGCATTTGAGAGCACACAGGCACAGTTTTGTAAGTACAAATTCAGATTTGAGAGTGTAATCCATTTCTGATTCTGCGCTCTCCGATTCCTCCACTGGGGTCTGTGTAAAAATCTGTCTGTGCCAAAAGTTTTGAAAGCGCACAAAACAAGTTGCGAGCACTATTCAGTTTGCGAATCAGACTTTGAGAGCCTGCAGGCATGGACTTGTAAGAGCAGAAACAGATCTGAGAGCAAGGGAGGACAGAATCATGAGTGTAAAGCAGAGCAGAAGCGGTATGGATTTCATCCAGTTTTACACCTGATTACTTTTAGAATGGGGCCGAACTTCAGCCCTATCAGTTGTCTTTTGACCTACAGTATGAGCGGGGTCCCGGCAGTCACTTTATGACCGGAACAACCACTGATCTGCCTTCCAACCACTCGGATGGATTTCTGGCATGTAACAAATCAGATCAGCTGTGTTGCAGATCCACGTTCCAAAGTTAGTTCAAGGCACTTGTGTGAGTACAAAGACAACAACATAACAAAATGGCATAGATGAGATGTCACATTTTATGGACAGAGATACTGAAACAAGGATATAGACTGCATATAATATATTTATATACTGTATATGGACGAAGCAAATGGAGCTCTGGCAGCTCAACAATGTGTCATCAGAACAGTGTCATGATCTGCAGCAACAGGAGAAATGGCTACTGGCAGCAGATTACCACTGTTCATGAGCTGGACAAAGTAAAAAATAATGCTGTTTTGCCTCTTGTTGATCTCAGCTTTACTGGAGTTGTCAATGAACACACCTGCTCTGAGGTTTTGTTTTAATCGTCCAGCGTGAGCACCCACACCCCCATAAAGACAAATGGAGAACAGCTGTTATGTGCCGTTCGCACCTGTCAGTGAGCGAACGAGAAAGAGGCGGACCCAGGTAGCCGACTTTGATGCAAGCAGTGATTTATTATGTACAGTGATGAGAAATAACAAAATGCACAGAGGGAAATAGTGCGTAGTCCTGTCGATGAGTAGTAACCGGGTGTTGACCAACAGTAGGAGGTGAGGAGATGGAGAGCTGGGCCGAGCTGCGTAGGCTGGGTCACTCCTGGGCTGGTCGGTGGTGATGGTGGCTACTGAAGGTGGAGACAGAGAGATGAAGGCAATAGTGGAACAGATAGGTGACTGAGCATTGACCTGCCTGGGAGGGGAGAGTGGAGCCACGGTCTGGAGGAACAGTACATGGGGGGAACACAAAACAGTAGCTGGCTAGGGGATAAATACATACAAAACAAGTGCAGCTGGTGATAAGGGAGTGAGGAACAGGTGAACGTGATTAGTGTTAATGGGTAAGAGAGAGTAGGAAAGGTGAGGGAGGTCAGAGCGGCTGAGCAAACCTGACAACAGCCATCAGTTGCTAAGACAATGCTTGCAGCTATACTATTTTATCAGCATAAAAAGCTCAAGTTAAATACACCTGTCACTTTACACTGCAACTTGTTTTTACTGTTTAGTAATTGTTTTTATATCTTTTTGTTTGATGGTCTTTATTGCACACTGTTTTGGTCAAGAGCATACTCATTTCATTGCATATGACTGTGTAATGACAATAAAGTCTATTCAATTCTTATTCTATTCTATCGTGCTGACTGAGTGAACTTATGGTGAAGTCGCAAAGCCAAAGTTTCATCCCTGTAAAGGTGGCACTGTAGTTTATTTGGGAACTTAAGGAGGCAGTGTATAGTGTATATACCAACTTCTTACAAAATGGACAAAATTAAAGGTAAAATATGTCATTTTTATTGAATATATAAAATACAAAATTATGATACATGCACTCTTTTATTAACAGCAAATGGTGCTACTCACATACTGTGAAATGATGTTTCTGCAGCCCAGTTTGGTTCCATCTTATTTTCACTTTATATTCTCCCTTTGGGGTCTATCCTGCTATGCAGATGACATTCAGATCAGCTAATCTGGGTTTATTGGAAGGTGGGGAGACTGAGTCTTTGCAGTTGCTACTCCTAATTTATGGAACAATTTGCAACCTGAACAGCACCCATTTATCTGATATGGTCTCCTTTAAATCAAAATTAAATCTTTTGAAATTAGCATTCAGCTTGCTGTAGTTTAGACACTTACATTACTGTTCTATTGTTGTGGGTTTCTGTGGTTTGTCTGTATGTTGCTTTCTTGTAATTTCTGTACGAGGTGTATTTACAGGTGTTGCACTGAGGGTTATTGTCCGGTCATACTGTCGTTGGTTAAGTGTTAATCAGAGTGACAGCCCGGGGGAAGAAACTGTCCCTGTGCCTGGTTGGCTTAGTTCAAACAGATTGCGTACAGGTCCTCCATGGAGGGTAGGCTCGCACCAATGACCTTTTCTGCAGTCCTGACTGTCCGATGAAGTCTGTACTTGTCCTGTTTGGTTGCTGAGCCAAACCAGACAGTGATGGAGGTGCAGAGAACAGACTGGATGATTCCTCTGTAGAACTGTATCAGCAGCTCCTGGGGCAGGTTGAACTTCCTGAGCTGGTGCAGGAAGGTCATCCTCTGCTGTGCCTTCTTGATGATAATCCTGGTGTTTGATGATTGTCAAGCATGTTGTTTGATCTGTTGTTGTAAAGCGCTATACATGTTGATTTGTTGGCAGTGGGAATACATCTATACTACATACATACAGGGACCTTTTACATGCCATCTTGCTTACTTCCCTCCACCCAACAACTGCATATGACATCCACTTTGTTGCCAAGACACTCCTAACTAAAGTGTTTCTTATTCCACAGTGTCTCACACATTTACAGAGCTGTAGTTCGCATATGACTATGACAGGTGGAAGAAAGTGTAGTTCCTGTTAACTGGGTATTATTATTGTTATTATTATTAAAAAGTCAGAACACACATACTTAGATTTTACATTTCCAGTACATTAAACCATATTATTTTTGCAGTAGACATGCTATATAGAGTATAGCACAGTCGCATGTTTCTATTAGCAAGTCACTGATATAAAATAGGTAACATAATAGATCAGAAACTAGACAGTGCAGGGCGATAAAGATGGAAACTTTGAATATAGTCCCAGAGACAAGAGGCGGCGCGCGCATACGTAGGAAATCCGGCGCGCGATAGCTATAGCAGGAAGTGAGAGCAGTTGAGGGGAAACGGCGGCCAGTTTGGGATTTGAATTTATCAAACTACTTTCATAATCTACAAACATCTACATTAATATGGCAGACCAGAAGGTGAGGTTTCACATTTTAGGTCACGTAATGCATTGTGTTCGCTTTAAAATCGGAATTTTGCAACAAACATTCTATTTTATGTGTTATAATTCGTCAAAGTTTGTAAAGGAAGCTGCAAGAGAGAAATGCCGACAATGATGTTGTCTCTCGTGATGCTAGAAAAGCTATTTGATATGTGTTCAAGGATGTAAGATGTCAGAAAAGCTTAAGAACTTCATGACGGACAACTAGACATGCCCAATGGGTCCAGTGTGAGATTTTATAACAGATTGCCTCAGAGTTAACGTTAATGTTGACGAGCTCGAAAGTCCTCCGAAATGTGCAGTCTTGTCAGCATGTTAACATAAGCCTCATAGTGGTTATCCTAGAAAGGCAGGCGGCGCAACACTTAAGCCAGCGATTTCCCTGTCGTTAACCGTCGCAGTTGTCAGTTATATGAACGGGGTATTCTACAGTCTGCATGTAGCCGATCGGCTAAAGACACCGAGTTGAAGCTAGTCGTGTCCCTTGTCTTTGTCTGCAGAACAGTTGTTAGCATCGGTTGGCTAATGCTAGCTGTAATATCTGGGCGCCTGAGACAGTGGCTCCATATATTTGGGCAGTAATAGGGTTAACATTGAAAGGAGTGCCAGTCAGCCCACAAATCAGATCTCATAAATTAATGTGAGATTTAGTACTTCACGACACACCTTGGTGCGAAAAGCCCAATGATGAACTCTAGCTCTCGGCTAGCCCGTTAGTAAAAGGCCGCCTCAACTTAGCTAGGCAAGTTCACCACGAGTTGTCTTGCACACACAAAGTTTAATAACTCTTTGCTAGCATAAATAAAACAAAATGTAATTCCAGCAAGACAATACCTTTAGTATGTCTAAATTATTGTGTAAGCTTGTTGAATTCATTACGCAGTTGCGCTACGTATAAAGTTAGTAGCAGTAACAACTTATCTGTAGCAAAGTTATTAGAATAAGAAACTTATTCTAATAAGTACAAAAGTACCAACTAACCTGTACCACATGCAAGAAAACACCAACATAATCAGAATGTCTGACACAGGTAAGAGCAAATGTTTGCTTTGAGTTAACACCTCCACCTCTTTTCCTTTTAGGACCAGGAAGACCATGACACCAGTGCAGATGGTGCAGATGACACTAATCATGATCCCCACTTTGAGCCCATCGTGTCCCTTCCTGAGCAGGATGTGAAAACATTAGAAGAAGATGAAGAGGAACTCTTCAAAATGTAAGCTTTTGTTTAAATAGTTTTGTGTTCACTGTTTGGTAGGGCAGTACACAGGTGACTTCACTATGAGTGCCATCTTGTTAGTGAAGTTTACTGTTGGTTTTCGCAGGCGGGCTAAACTATATCGTTTTGCCTCTGAGAATGACCCACCAGAGTGGAAGGAGAGAGGAACCGGTGATGTCAAGCTGCTGAAACACAAAGAGAAGGGCACAATCCGCCTCCTGATGAGGAGAGATCGAACCTTGAAGATCTGTGCCAATCATCACAGTGAGTCGCGTTGTCAAATATAACTGAATTACTATTGTGTGTCATTATACATCATCATATCATGAAGTAATAAAACATTCACAGTCAATATTAAAATGTGATTGTATTTGCTAAATGCCAGTATATGGAATGGCAGCAAGTATTGTATGGCAAAATGTACTGTACTTAAAAAGGCATGTAAATCATACCATGTATGTACACTAGGTTTCTTTCTACAGAGAAGCCTTGTGTGTTTATTTTTTAGGTACATGTGTATATATTTGTACTCCAGGTACTCAGTCATACTATGACAGTGTTTTCTCTAAGTGTAGAAACCACTGTCATAGCTGTAGTACAAATGGTGGCACCAAACTAATCAGAATGCTGTGATTATACAAATAGCCATTTGTTTACAAAAGCTAAAATGTCCAGCTAACACTTGTGTAGTGGCTAGATATAACCTCCTCCATTGTATATGCCTGTATCTCTGCCCTCACATGTTAACCTCATTTCCTCCTCTACAGTTATACCTATGATGGAGCTGAAGCCCAACGCTGGCAGTGACAGGGCATGGGTGTGGAACACTCTAGCAGATTATGCTGATGAATGCCCTAAACCTGAACTCTTGGCAATACGCTTTTTAAATGCTGAAAGTACGTATTTATACATGTAATTCAATATTACAATTGAAAGATGTCCGAACCAGTGTTTAATTTGTATTTTATAGCAATGGTGCAGAAGTGGCAAAATGGCTGTATGAGTCCAGTTTTCTACATCTAAACTGTAGGAAACAACACCCAGCTGATACTTTTATAACTGGTTTTCTTAATTGTCAGTGTAACATGATTAAACGCCCTCACTGGTCATGACACGACTGCATGATAATGTTATACACTAACTGTCTGTTCTGTTTATAGATGCTCAGAAGTTCAAGGTGAAGTTTGATGAGTGCAAGGAGGAGGTCAGAAAATATCAAGAAGGAACAGGTACATAAAACTTGGATTTTAGGCGTTGCTTTACTAGGAGTTGTACTCCATTTTACATGGTACTGTGCCAGGGTTTTTGAAAGGAATTTTTCCTGCCAGAATCTATCTCAACAAATTTGTATCTTACCACCCACTAGTGTTGTCACAATACTGGAAATTCTAACTTTGATACAATATCTTGAGAAATGTATCGATATTCAACACCCTTTTCAATACCGCGGGGAAAAAATTACACCCGATTGAGGACATAACATTTTACATTTTATTTAAAAGACAAATATAACAAGGTTGTAACATGTCAGTGAGGTGCAACTTTATTTTCTTGGCTAGCCCCACACTTTGAGAACTAGCTGTGTTAGCACCTATCGTAAACACCACTCTGTAGCATCACTAAAAAGCAGTGCCGTTGTCTGCCATTTCTTTGTCACAAATAAGTTTCCACAGTGAGATCTGAGTTTGACTGATAGGAGTATTCACTAATCAGCCTTCACATACAGTAAGAGTGTGAGCTGTCTTACTTTAAAATGCACATCTATTCGTGTGTAGTTTCAGGATTAAAAAAAGTCTAAGGTGTCCTAAAATCCACAGCTCAGACCAGGCTGCTCGAGGTAATTGCTAATTCAGCAGCTTGAGTTAACAGGTAGTTTTCCTCCTTGGAACAATAAATATTTTCCAGTTATGCAACTTTAGTTCTAAAAACAAATTTCCATGATCATTTCTCAAAGCTCATTGATTTTGGACTCTTTCTACTGCTGGCATGTGTATACAACTCACCGATGTCGTCGAAATGGAAACTGGTCTGTGTGTCATTGCAGCTTGCAACGTGCATAAAGCGGCGTCCCTGTCTCCTCCCCCAAAACGCAGTGAGAACACAGTCAACAGCTTATGAGCATTATTACAGGCGTTTTGACTGGGAAGTTTTGAATTTATGTTTTTTAAAGAATTTTACTAGGCACAAACTGGTCCATACCGACTAACAAACACTGTACCATGCCTGTATTCATTATTTTCTGAACCTCCAGCACAGTTTTACTCGCCAGTTTCAAATTAAATTCAAACTAGGGGTAATAATGTTACATGTTATGTGACAAGTTTCACTATGCAGACGCACTCTGTTCTTTGCTGCTCCCTCCAGCCTGGGACTTTTTCTGTCTGCTACATGAACATGCAGAATGTAGCATTTCACTGGCTCTCGAACTGGTACTGCTGGTGTCACTATGTTCTGCTACAATGCATTTCAGATTTTTCACAGGTTACTACTGTTCTCCAATGTGATCACAATACCTAAATGTCACATGGTTGATCTTAAGTAAATGAAATGACAATGGCTGTATGGAGGGATAGAATAAGAGGGAAAACAGCACCAGGAATGATTTTTCTATAGAGACAAATCTGAAGACGTGCAACATAGTAGTGTTTACTTTCGTAGCTTCTCAGTTGATGGCACATTTCACTGTTTCATCACAGGGAACACCGATAGTGCCGGCAAGGTGGCGGAGAAGCTAGAGGAGCTCTCTGTAAAAGACAAGGCACCTGAGGAACAGAAGGAAGAGGACAAAAAGGAGACTGAAAAGAAAGATGATGAGAAAAAGGGGGTGAAGGTTGAGGAGAAGAATTGAGAACCAAGAATTTGCTTTGCTGATCTTGAATTGATCAGTTTTTCCTCTTTTTCTACAATAGACTCTAAACGAACTGAATTTGGACACCTGCATTATTAGTTGTTTTTTTTTGTTTGTTTTTTATTTGTTTTGCCTCAGGATCACAAGTCCTTGATGCAACTGGGGGAAAAGTACAAGATAAAGAATTTATGAAAACAAAGCCCTTTCCCTCTCTGCACCATGGAATGCCACTCTTTCTATCAACAGCTCCA